AATACATACATAATCAGGGGGAAAATGTCTGTATGTCTAATAAAAGATTTACATCAACGACAAAACAAACACAGACCGAGAAAAGCACATTAAGGTTAACATTTCAACAAGTCCTCATAAAATATTTTTTAAAAATTAGCTTTTTTTGTTGTTTACAAGTCTACGGGATGAAATTAGAGAGTTAAATTCAACAAGAAAAAACGGAAGAGACAAAGAGAAGTAGAATTTTGCATACTAGATAAAGAAATGAACAACATATTCAAGACATACGTGTTTTGGGTTTTCATATTAACAAATAACATCTTTGAGGACAAAATTGTGAACCACATTAACAGCCAAAAATATAATTAAATCAACCCAAAATCTATTAGTAATGCTACAATCACAAATAAACGGGCAGCTGTTTCTTCCATAAGGCCTCAAAATGAACAAGTCTCATCTATTCAATTCAAATGTATTTGTAAAGCGCTTTTCTCAATACACATTGTTTCAAAGCATCTTTGCAGAACATGCATGTGTCTACGTTACACTTTAGAGTGATCTGTTATCAGAAGTGAATCAACATCTGAATATTTAGAAACGGGGGCGTTTTTTTAGGAAGGATTTTATAACGGACTTAACCTCGTAGAATATAACGCAATATATGACACAAACATGCAATAATTAAATGTTAAACAACACAAATATCCTTTATGTATTTAATCCCATTCTATTTGCTTCTGAGCTTCGATGATCCAGTTCAACCGTACTAATAAGCACAAATTACTCTAGACGAACATTTGTGTGTCTTTGTTTATTGCTGAAGTGTGTTGAAATGCCTTCTTCTGCATTCTACAGTACGGACGTAAACTTACTTTCCCTTCAGCCTGAGGCTTATTCATTTCACTTTTGGTGTGAAAACGCTTTTATATTTGCCAAAAATAGAACTTTTTTATATTAAAAACAAAGAAGCAAGCGCTGTCCAGATTTAAAAAGTAACGCAAAAGTAACGTAACGCATTACTTTCCATTAAAAGTAACAAAGTAACGTAATTAGTTACTTTTTTATGGAGTAATGCAACATTGTACACAGACAGAATGCAATTAAAATAGTTGTGAAAGAGTCTGGGAGGGAAAGAGACTTATTTGTGACAGTGAGTGTATAGCAGCACTGTTCACACACTGACATCTGCTGGACAGAAACCGCTTCAGATCAGCTCAGAACCGAGTCATCTACACATCCTCTCAATGTGTTCTAGTAACGATTTGTTACTGTTACAAAGACGTTACTTCTGAATGCTTAAAACATTCCGTTTTTTTAATGTTTTACC